TCAGCAGGTAGTGTGGTGGTTAAGGGTGCTGGACTCCCACGTGGCCAATTGTGCTTCAATTCTAGGACCTGATGGCTTGCTTTCTCAATTTCCCTCTTTGTCTCTCTTACTCTGCCCCTCTCTTATCTAATTTGAGAAAAAAAGTTAAATAAAATACTTTTTTTAAAAAAATGGAGAAAATCTAAAAGAATTTAGAAGTATTTAATCATGCTTGTTTGTTCTCTTGTTTGGAAATACATTAGTATATTTATAATGTTCAGAACGATATAGATTTCTTTCTTTTTTTTTTTTGGATAGAGAGTGCATGTGCTTATTGGAGAGAGACATAGAGAAGGAAAGTGTGAAAGCACCTTCTAGTGGAAATTGTCACACTGCAGTCCCTTCTCCTCAGTTCTCCTTTTGGGATATTGGGCATGTGTGTACACAAATCTGGTGTGTTTATCAAGCCACCAGGTTTGGGATTCAAACTGAACGAATGTCCCTGTATTGTCTAGCTGCCTTAACCACCATGCCACTGACTGGCTCTTGAACCATTGATATTATGATGTCATAAACATGAGATTATTTCTCTTGTAATTTTAGCACATGATAATAAAGATCACTTTGTTTTATTCTGTTAAAGTAATTGTTATTATAATACAGGATTTTTAAAACAGTTATTACAAAATTGTATAGAAAAAAGTTTTTGTTACTCAATTTTTTTAGTTAGTGCAATGCAAGTATGGTATCTTTTAATATTAAGCACAATTACGAATATTTAAAATAAGCCTAGTTTTGTTATTCCATCCTTTAACTAAAACTTTGAGCATGACCTATGTGTTTGTTTTGGTACTATTTCTTAGTAGCAAGAGAATAATTATTTGCCAAATTTGAATAATATAGCATTCCTTTGTTAAAATAAAATTCTGTAACTATCGTGTCTCTCCTATTTTTTTTAGAAGATTTCTAATTTGAAATTTGAATTTTAAAATATATGTGGACAAAAAGAACAAATACCTTTCAATTTTGAGGTTGAACATTATAAGTTAATGCTTTTTGAATTCAAGGAGATGGTGTTTGCTTTACTGTCTGTGTTTCTCAATAACACAGAGAGAGAGAGAATGGAGGAAGGGGAAATTGAAACAAAGACAATGAAAAACCAAATCATAAGGATAACTATTGTCAATATGCCCCTCAAGAAATTTAAATGTGCAAAAATGTCTGATGCCCCCCAAGAAATTTAAATGTGCAAAAATGCTCTGTCTCTGAACATCACAAAAGTAAGGTCAAGTGTTTCTAAATGCTTTAATATCTGTACTTCACGCATTTAGTGAGAGAAGAGAGGTGTGATCTGCTCTACTCAGTGTACAGGATTAAGGGCACATTCCTCCAAATTCCAATTTCCAGTTTCAAAATATCCTTTCGAATTCAATATTTGACACAGATGGGACGACTTTGATCATCTCTTCAATGTCATGCAAAGGACATGATGGTAAAAGACCTTGCAAGCCTTTAGAAGAAATGAGCATGACCCTTGCTGGTGAGCATGTTCAAAACAATTCAAATACTTCCAACATCTTTTTAGGGTTTTCAGAATTTACAGCAAAGGCTTTGGTGTCAAGTACCTCCAGTGTTTTTGTTTCTCCTGTTTGTATAGTGACCTTTCCCGCCCTTGCCCTACTCAGGTTCCCTCCATCCCCCAGGGAAACTGAAAATGAAATTATAAATAACCCGGTCAGCATGCACTATGCTTCCAGCAGCACCTGACACTGAGTTGTTTTCCAGACAACAGTAAATACACTGCATTTCTTCAATGGCTTCTGAGGCCCCTCTTTTCTATTTTTTATTGATTTTTAAAAAATTTTTTAAATTTATTATTTTTATTTTATTTATTATTTATTTTTTATACACAGTCTCATTGTTTAGCTTACAAAGTGAACATTTCAATATGTGAACATTTCTCCCCAGTACAGTTGATCAAAATATCTTCAACAGAAAACGCCACACCTCCCTGTCCCATCAATGCTCTGCCTCTGTATCCCTCCTCTCCAGGCCCTTCCCTAGGCCCCACTCCCCCACACACACACTACATCTGGCATTTACACCCATCTCTTGTGTTTGTATATCTTTTAGTCAATCAGTTCCGGTAGTAGAGTGCAGACACTCAATATATATTAAGTGGGGGCATACAATGTCTCTCCTTCACTTGCTTCACTCAGCAGTAAATCTTCCATATTCTTCCACTTTCTGTCAAAAGCCAGGGTTTTGTTGGTTTTTATGGCTGAATAGTATTCCATAGAGTATATGTGCCACAGTTTTTCACTCCATAGGGGCACTTGGGTTGGTTTTATGTCTTAGCAATTGTGAATAGTGTCGCAATAAACATCAATGTGCAAGCACTTTTCCAATGAAGAATTCTTCTGTCCTTTGGGTAGACACTGAGGAGTGGGATTGCTGGATCATATGGTAGTTCTATTTGTAGGTTTTTGAGGAATCTCCAAATTGTTCTCCACAGTGGCTGTACCAGTTTACATCCCCATCAGCAGTGTAAAAGTTCCCCTTTCACCATACTCCCGCCAACACTTACCATTTTTTTTTTTTTTAATCTTAGACATTCTGACTGGGGTTAGGTGGTACCTCATTGTCGTTTTGATCTGCATTTCCCTTACGATGACGGATGTTGAGCATTTTTTCATATGCATTTTGGCTATTTGTATGTCATCTTTAGAGAGTGTTTTTTTTTCAACTCCTTCTCCCATCTTTTAATAGGGTTGATCATCTTTTTTCCAAACAGCAGCTTGAGTTCCTTGTGTATTCTGATTATCAGCCCCTTATATGATGTTTAATTCACAAAAATATTTTCCCATTCTGAGGGCTGTCGATTCACACTAATTACTGTGTCTTTTGCCATGCAGAAACTTCTTAGTCTGGTGTAATCCCACTTGTCTATTTTAGGGATTATCAACTGTGCTTTGGAGGTCTTATTTAAGAAGTTTTTTGCTACACCAATGCCTCCCAGAGTTTCCCCAGTGTTTTCCAGGAGCAGTTTTATATTTTGAGGTCTTAGATTTAGATCCTTGATCCACCTTGACTTGATTTTTTTTTTTTTGAGAGATTTTTGCTACAGGGCACGTGCACTCGCCAGACAGACAGAGAGAGACAGAGAGACAGAAAGCGAGAAATCACCCCCCAGGGGAGATGGTCATGCCGCAATCCCTTCTCCTCCATTCTCCTCTCGGGATCTTGGGCATGCACGTATACGCGCCTGGTGTGAATTTTAAGCCACCGGGTCCAGGACGCAGACCACAGTCGACTACGTGGGAGTCCAACCTTGACTTGATTTTTGTCGAAGGTGAGAGGTAGGGGTTCAGATTCATCTTTCTGCAAGTGGAAATCCAGTTTTTCCCCACCATTTGTTGAAGAGGTTTTCCTTTTCCCACTGGATTGACTGGTACCCCTTGTCAAAAATCAGTTGACTATATGTTTGGGAATTTATTTCTGGGGACTCTACTCTGTTCCATTGGTCCACATGTCTGTTTCTGTGCCAGTACCATACTGTTTTGATTACCACAGCTTTGAAGTATATTTTTCGGTCAGGGAGTGAGATGCCACCCACTCCACTCTTCTTGTGTAGAATTGCTTTGGCAATATGGGATCTTTTATGATTCCAGATGAATTTTATGATTGTCTTTTCTAGATCTGTGAAGAATGTGTCTGGTACTTTGATTGGCATTGCATTAAATATGTAAATTAATTTGGGTAGAATTGCCATTTTGATTAT